CAAATATACAGGGTGGGGACTTTAACTGGAACTAATTCGCTAGAGCCTTCAGATAAAATATGTGGACAAAACGCAAAAACACGTCGATCAAGATTTTTTTTTTGAAATTTTTCCATATTAATTTTTTTATACAGGGTGTTCCCAGAACAGCTGTACGGTTATCAACTTTATTTTTCCAAATGGTAGCCCCTGTATATTATGACATTTCTGGATTCTGCTGAAAATTCAAGACATATTTCATGTACAATATTATATACCTATCTTCAACTGTTTCGGAAATATTGACAGTTGAAAATTGACTTTTTTGCAACTTTGACAGGCTGTAAAACCTAAACGGTTAATTTTAGAGGAAAACCAGTTCACATTCCAGTCTTAGATTTTCATAAACTATCATTTGACACTAACTTTGAATTTAACTGTAGATTGAATTTAACTGGAATTTTTAATCATGGATTAAATTCAAAGTTGGTGTCAAATGATAGCTTATGAAAATCTAAGATAGGAATGTAAAATCGGTTTGCCTCTAAAATTAACCGTTAAGGTTTTACAGCCTGTCAAGGTTGCCATTTTCAACTGTCAATATTTCCGAAACAGTTGAAGATAGGTATATGACATTGTGGATGAAATATGTCTAGAATTTTCTGCAGAATCCAGAAATGTCATAATATACAGGGGCTACCATTTGGAAAAATAAAGTTGACAGCCGTACAGCTGTTCTTGGAACACCCTGTATAAAAAAATTAATGTGAAAAAAACTCAAGCAAAAAATCTTGATCGACGTGTTTTTGCGTTTTGTCCACATATTTTATTCGAAGGCTCTAGCGAATTAGTTCCAGTTAAAGTCCCCACCCTGTATATATACTGATCATATTTGAGTGAGTCGTTTTTGATATATCTTAGCTTAAATTTTAAATAAAATCCAAAGGAATTTTATGAAGATTTAAATGTCTTGACATCCTTATGGAATTTCCGAGGGAATTTCTTTGCAAATTTAAGCTAAAATATTTCAAAAACGGCTCACTCAAATGTGCTCAATATATATATATTTGGAATCAGGAAGAAAAGATCTTTAATTTTATCGCATAATATACAGGGTGTTCCATTGGAAAAAGTTGAAGTTGCCCACATTTCTCCATTTTCCGATGCGATTTTGTTTTTTCTGATAATGTCAAAAGAAAATATAGAAAAAAATTGTCAAGTTTTGTATTTAAAATTTTTTTCTATCTTAAATAGTAAAGGCTGTAGGTATGGTGCCAAATATAATCAAATACCCTGTACAAGCAGAAAAATCATTATTTATTAGGGGATTAATTGAATTTAACCAGTTACCGACTGATATCAAAGGCTGTGAACAAATCAATACTTTTAAAAGAAAACTTAGACAATATATTAGAGATAAGACAGATTAAATTACAGTGTATACTTTTAGTTTTATTTATTTGAGTGATTTAGAGTATTTTTGTTTTTTGTTTGTATTGCCGGTTTTATATTTAATGATTGTATTTGAAATTGATGTGCAATGTTGATTAATTGTTTATCTGTGTTTTTTTTTTAAAAATAATAATATGATGTTAAGATAACGTATATGTAACTCCAAGATGGAATTAGTTATAATAGCTAAATAAACGATTACAACAACAAATACGCTGTTCCCTATTTCTTGTGTCACCCTGTATAATTGGTGAACATGTAAACTTTACTTATAATGATTGTGAACTGTTATTGTATTATTAATAAATTATTATGTTTTATGTTAATTTATTGCTGTATATTTTTTGATATGTTACTGTTTATTATTGTTTTCTTATGTTTTGATATTCTAGGTGATAGGTTAGGTTAAGATTCTCACTTGTTGATTATACTTGTCTTTTAATTGGACAATAATTCTGCACTCCTGCAAGAATAAACGCCGTATGATTAACAATTTCGAATATCGAATTTTTGTTGCCAAAAATTTTCTTTTGCTTTAACTTAGCTGTCTGCCATATATGAACGCCGTATCTTAACTAGAACTATTTAAAACTATACACAAAAATCCTGCCGTATGTTCCTATTACCAATTTGTGCCAAATATGAATGCCAAATATAAAGGCGGTAAAAATACTGGCTGCTTGCGAACTTAACGCGTTTATCTTTGGTACATGAATTTTATCAAATTAAAAAAATTTCCATAGAATTCTGGAGATATTGGAGAGTTATTGGACGTGCAATAAGGACAAGCAGTATTTAAATTATTTTGACATCTGCGCATGCGCATTTGGGTCTGAAAATAAGGATTCCCTTAATAAGGTTACTGCTTGTCTTTATTTGTGTATGGTTAGTGCGAGGCAGTAAACTTCCCTTATTTCAATATTTCTGACATTTTTGACGACTTTGACGTTTCGCTTTTCGACCATGACGTAATTTTACTATAGAATTTGTTTTTTACAATAGTTTTTCATTTTACTGTAGCAACATCAAAAAATGGGGTATCAGCAGAAAATCACAAACAAAAATAAACACTTTTTGAGGTTGAAATTTATAAACATAGCTTTCAGCCACAACTCTCAGCTGTCAAAATTATGAATACAAAATAAGGTAATACTCTAACACCTACTACAGTCTTCCAATAACTGTTATTTTCTGGGAAAAATAGTGCTGATGCACTAATAAAATAATGTAGATCCTTATTACTACAAGACAGTATTTAATAGTTCCAATAACTCTCTATTTAATACCGTCAATTGGGGTGACTTGATACATTTTTGAAATTCAATTGCCTGTAGTTTTGGAATGGATAGACCTAGGAAGTTCATATACCCCTCAAAAGTTTAGTCTCGATCTCTAGTTTATATAGTCAAAGTGCCAAATTGTCATAAATTTCAGTTTTGGTAAAAAAAAAATAAATGTTGGTGTACCAAGTCACCCCGTGGGTCGGGGTGATTTGATACACGTATTTATTTCTTCATAAATATCATTTCGTAAGCTTTAAAGGGTGACTTGATACACAAAAATATATTTTTTAAAAGGTTTAAGTTTGAAAAAAATACATTAAAAGGTTAATTTATGCAAAACTTATGAAAAATGAACGTTTATTCGAAAAAAGGGATTAGTTATCCCTTTATACATTAAAAAAAATACAATAAATGTTTTAACAAGACAAATATGACTATAAAACATCAAAAGAAAATTTAAAAAGTCCTCTTCTTTGCTTTTGTGGCATAGGTAAACGGTACTTCACTTCGAAAGGGTAAACAAAACTTGTGTCTTTAACATCAGGCCAAGTAAATGTATCTTTCGAAACTCTGTAAGGTCTCAAAAACGAAACTTCGACCGCCTTGTTGGCGCCATTGGATGAACCTGACACACTGATGACCTGAGCAAGTTTATCAGTGAGAAAGGTTTCCTCCTCTGCAGAAAGCGCTATTTGTCCCCCATACTTCTTTTGATTTTTCCCTTTCAAACAGCGATGGATTTTCATTTTGTCAACACTGTACTTTTCACTGGCTCCCCGTATACTTAACTTCCCGCTTCTAACATCTTCCAACGCCTTATTCAAATTTTCTACCGAATACGATGCATATCTGCGCGTTCCCGGACACTTCTTGTATTTTCTTGGCATTTTACCTGTGTATCAAGTCACCCCATCCTGGAACCAAATATGCTATTTTATTTGCAAAATAATTAATTTTTATTTTTTCACTTTGAAACTTTGTCATATTACTAACTAATATATAAGCTAACTTACCACCAAATTTCATGGAAATCAAACAAATACAACTGTAGCTACAGATCAAAGTTTACGAACCACCAGAAATACGACGTTGATTTGTTTTGATTTGAGCCTGTACTGAAGCACGTGTTTTAGCTTTGTGGCGCTAAAAATATTAGGGATCACTCACATATACTCGCTAGCGACAATCAATGACAAATAAACTGTCAACGACGACGGCTCTATATCTTATACATATTAACAAAGTAATACGTCAAATCGTATCATAACACCCCGGCGTATTAAGTCACCCCAATTGACGGTACAAGAATCTATAATAAAAATTATTTAAATGTCATAAATGCGAAAGGGCCAAGCCAAAAACTTTCAAAGTGGATATTTCAGTTCACCGCCTCATGAACATACCGCGTTTATTCTTAGGAGGGCAGAATTGCTCGTTGATAAATAAATATTATTAAGGTGGGTTTATACAGCCACATAACATAACATAAGATAAAAAGTTGACCTTATGGAAACTCCTTATGGCGTTTATACAGAAAATAACATAACATAACATAAAAAATAAGAAAGTTGGTAAACTTTTAACTTTTATGTCTTATTTTATGTGAAAACGGATCTGCGCATGCTCCTCCCTTGATGGGGCGGAGTAGTAAACAAAACATTCCAACCAAAAAAAAAAAATTTTGATTTTATTTTCAGCTATTGGTAATTTTTTGGAATTCGATATTTATTTTGTGTTTTCGGTAGAATTTACATAAGTACACATACCAGCTGATTGGTTAGAAATTATTTCTTATGTTATGTTATTTTCTGTATAAACGCCACAAAATTATTATTTCTTATATTATGTTATGTCTTATTTTATCTTATTTCTTATGTTATGTTATGTGCTGTATAAACCCACCTTTATTATTATTATTAATAAATAAATTATAAATTATAAAGCCTAGTTCTCATGGAGCGGAAAATCGCGTTGAGGGTGCGGAATATCGCTTTCCGTTCAAGACATAATTTTTGCCGGTTCACATGAAGCAAGATTCCACAAGCAGTTTAAAAATTCCGGGTCCGCCACGCGATTTTCCGCTGCATGAGAACTAGGCTTAAGAGACAAAAGTAGAAAACTTCTTGTTGGTTGGTTGGAATTTTGTATTACTTTTCCTCAGGAAAATATGCCATGAAATTTCTTTCTATGTATATAGCAAAATAATTGAATTGACAGCTCACATGAACCAAGACATGAACACATTGGAATTTAATTTTCAAATTTTTTCTATTTTACTTTACTTACTAAGGTTTTGCTTGTAGTTGATTTAAAAGAGCTGAGAGCTCTACCAAGATCAACACTAGTTAATTTTGGTATAGCACCTGCTTCCAGTGTTATCCTAAATCTGCCTTCACCGTCATACCTAATTATTTTTCCAGTTTTCAAATCTAATCTATCACAGCTTCTTACTACTTCGTCTTCAATAAAATGCTTTTGACATACCTAAAACCCAGAATCTAGAGTAAAAATCTTTTGAGCCATTGCATTGGAGTAATTTTTGGACTCACACCAGCATATTTAGAAGGCACATAATCCTTGCGATTAATTGCTTCCAGCCATTTGTCTTTCAAATCCTTATCAATGGGAAATTGGAAAACGCTCACTTTTTCAGATGTACCATCATAATTACTTCTACAACCGAGTACACAACACTTTCTTGGCATTCTAGAACTTTTTAGGTACGAATTTAAGGAGATTTAACAGAAGCCTGCTGAGGCTACGGTATCAACACAAACAAACTTGAAAACAAGCCAACCCATGAACCCATCAACACAAAAACAAATTGGTCAGCTATTGGGCGGCTGCGCCATTGAGCTGAGAGGTGATTGGCTGTAAACACAAAACCAAAAGAAATCTCAAAAAACTGTGTGTACAAGAAACAAGCCAATATGGACTGTCAATTCAATATATTTTTCAAAGAACGTTTTTTTTCTATACTTACAGTGATCTAGTTGGAAGTCGTTTTCGTCAAAATGAATATTGCAAACGTAAAAATTATCAGTTTGCGTTAAATCTTCCATACCCAAGTTTTCCAGCCATTTCTGCCGATAGTAAGGATCATTGGGTATTCTATGAAACGTTAATGAACGGTCGAGCTTTGATGGATCATTATTTGGACAATCCAACACCCTACACTTTTGCATTTTTCATAAGATGAATTATTTATGAATAAAATAAAAAATAAATTCAAATAAAGTGAGGTCAGTGGAGAATCGACTCCATCCAATCGACAGTTGACACTATTGACAGTGCCTATGTTCCGATATCAACTGTCAGTACTGAATTTACTGGACGCCGTTCCGATGTTACACTGGATTCAGTCGATTCAGTACTGAATGACCACAAAATTACGCTGTTGAAATCGGAACGGCAAATGACAGTAAAATCAGCACAGTAAATCCAGTACTGGCAGTTGATATCGGAACATAGCCAGTGCAAACCAGCCGCTTCCACAGGTCAAGGCTGCGTTCGAAAACGAGAACTTTGTTGCTGTGAAAGTAGACCTATCTATTTTTACCTGGTATGCGCGCGCAACACGAGGCAATGTCTTTTTATTGGCTAGCTAAACAGGTGTGAGGTGATCGTTTTGCATGCTGGGCATCTCTTTATCCTTGTTCATTGCACGTGGTCTGACAAGAATAAATCTAATGGCGTTTCCGATTGGTAAATTCAGTGCGCACTGAGTGTATTTGCATCCTTTTAATCGACCTGTAGAGGAAAAAGACGAAAATAGAAAAAATTGCACTAGTTCCGCACTAAATCTACCAATCGGAAACGGCATTAAGTTGATATTCAACTTGACAAGTGTCATTCAAAAGTTGTTTGACATTTTCATTGACAAATACCTTGCACAACACGCGGTTTTTCTCCTTTCCTTTTTATCCTGTGCAAATAAGAAGGACGGATTGCTATACGTAAGTCTAACATAATTTGGTACGTTTTGCCTCGTCTTGCGCAATGAGCGTTCTGTGTCTTTTTTTAATTAATGAAGTTTTCGTATTAATACCTCTTTGTCTGGTAAAATAGATAGGTCTATTATTTAGTAGGGATCCGACACACAGATGGGCGAATCATCTTCGATCTTGCTCTCTAGGAGGTATTCGAGCGGTGACCGAGACCGATTGGTTTTCTTACCAAGTTTATCTAAAATTAGCCAAACTTTCTAATGAAAGTCTACGTGTAGACGCATACCCTGGAGTGCGTTCATAAATGAAATACCCGGGCGAAATTCGCCCAGAGCGATATTTACCCAGAGTGCGCCCGGGACTTGAAAAATATATGAACGAGCGGAGCGTAATTTCTGTCTGTCAGAATCATCCGTCAACTAGGTAGTGGTGAAATTCATCTTAACCCAACTTTTCAAATAAAAAAAATATTATTTATTACCTTATTAGTTTCTAGTTTTAGTGAGGATTCTAGTACAGTACTATAAAAATAGCTCTAGCTCTATGACCTGCGAAAATTATGTTGGACGAAGAAATTGTTGTGCTAATACTAGTGAGCATAATTAATTTTTGCTACATGATACTGTTGGAGGAAGACTCTGAAGAAACACATGAGGATGAGGATTTACCTAATTTAATCCAGATATCACGTAAACGAAGTTTTTATAAACCTGACCGTATAGAAAATTATGTTGAAAAGGTTGTTTGGAATTACACTAGGGGTCAGTTTCAACAAAATTTCAGAATAACTTTGGATGCATATGATACATTATTAGGATATATTGGCCCAATATTAATTAGACAAACAGATGTTGGCAGAAGCAGATTAGATGTTGAAAAACAAATTTTAGCTGTTATTTGGTTGCTGGCAACACCAGATTCATATCGGTAAGGGCAGAAAGTACACTGGGTATTTAACTGTTAAAACAAAATGGTTTTATAGGTCTGTAGGAGAGAGATTTGATATGGCAAAATCGTCTCTTTCAAAATGTTTTACGAGAGTAGTAAATGCTCTATGTGACATAGCTCCACAAGTTATAAAATGGCCAAGAGGGAATGATTTAGAAAGAGTTAAAGAAGGTTTCGAACGAATTGCAAGAATTCCGAATATTATAGGTGCAGTTGATGGTACATTTATTGTAATCAAAGCACCCAAAGAAGACCCAAACTCTTACCTGACAAGAAAATGTAATTACGCGATGACTTTACAAGCTGTTTGTGATAATCGATTAAAGTTTACAGACTGTTTCGTAGGATTTCCGGGATCAGTTAGCGATACACGAATATTTCGGAATTCCGATCTATATTTTGCTGTACTAAACAATCATGATCACTATATTCCAAATGGTATGACAAAAATCTCATAGAATGTAACTTACGTGGATATTATTTCTGAATTATTTTTAGAAGAATTTATCATTGGTGACAAAGCCTATCCGGTTTTAACATGGTGCATTCCACCTTTCATTGACCGTGGGAACTTAACTGCAGCACAGAGATATTTTAATACAAAAGTAAGTCAGACTCGACAAACTATAGAAAGAGCTTTTGCACTTCTTTTTGGGCGCTTCAGACGATTGAAATTTTTGGACATGAACAAAACAAGTTTTATTCCCAATACTGTTCTTGCCTGCACTATATTACACAATATATGTTTAAATTTTGAAGACTTATTGATTGAGGAATATGTGAGAGGAGGATTAAATGCTGTACAAAACAACGGAGAAGATATTGATGTTTTTTATAATGAACAAGTACAAGAAGGTAGAAATAAGAGGCAACAGATATGTAGGACATTATATCAGTATCAATAGAATGTATGATGCAAATTGTATTTTTGAACGAAACCTGCTAATAATTCACTGTAGATTATGCAAATAATAGTGTATTACAGTACAAGTGGAAATTAGTTATTTACCTAACATGTGCAAAAGTGGAACTTTTCCGCACGCCACGGCAGTTGCACAAACGACGCAAAGCGGAGTTCTGGCAAGCCGGCAAGGGCGGAAAAGGCACTTTACGCATCGTGTTACGTACTAGATTTGTTCTACAAGCTTATAGCTTATAATTATGGCCTAATACGCCACAAACTTTTTAGTGAATTTTGATCAAAAAGTGAAGAGTAATGTGAAATTGTGAATATTCATCGAATTGAGCTATAATAAATCAAATTTTAAATAGTGCAATAAAGTACTTTTCCGGACTAATTTTTTTTTGTATCCTTGTCAATAACAGTCATACAAGATACTAGGGATGTGGCAGGGACTGGCAACAAAAACTACCTCCTACAAATTATTAAAATTTATTTTTTAATTTTGAGTAGAGTAAAAATCAAACGACTTCTTGGTAAGAAAAGTAGCAAAAAAACCGCAGAATAATCCAGAAGTTGCCATTAAACTTAACACCAAGAAACCCTAAATCAACCTTAAAGAGTGCTGGGGATACGTTCCACAAATGTTTAGAATTACCACTTTTATCGTAATATACTATTGTTTATACTATTTATTTATAATGAACATTTATTGGCTTTTAGACATTAAGTTTGGGTCGAGAGTAGAGGTATAAATAAATTTCATTAAATCTGAACTACATGTACTTATTCATGTCAAATCTCGTTTTAAATTAATATTTATTTAAGTTTGACAGCCAGAATAGGTATAGTATTTCCAAAGTCAATTGGAACAAGGTAAACATAAATCATCACTGGTAGCTGACTAGTGGCAGTGCATTTCTTATGAAAATATTCAATCAGCTACCAGTTGTTACCTTGTTCCAACTGACTTTGGAAATACTATACCTTATGGAGACAAATTAAATCAAATGGAACTTACAAAAATAAACATTATTTTTGGTAACGATAACCAATAACTAAACAAATAAACTTTTAAACAAAATAATAAAAATGTAATTCTAGTGGAATTACACAACTTGAATAAAATTAAAAATATTCATTTTTTTTGGTAACCACACAACAAATAAACTTTTGAACAAAATAACAAAAAAAATTGTAATTTTTTAGTTTTACAGGAACAGAACCTTACCTTAAAGCAACTTAATGCAGAGCTGAAAAACACAAACACACTATAATTCTATAATTCTATAATTCTATAATTAACCAATAGCAGGCGGTGAAACCGATGAAGCTATTGTGTCTTTTGATATGAGAGTTTGTTTCTGTTTATACACCATAATGAACCATCCTATTAAAGTCCTGTTTCAATTCAGAGTCCACTTTGTTCTTAAATGCATTGATAGAAACGACGGAAATTGTTTCTTCCTGTAGAGCGTTCCAGGAGTACACAACACGATTCACTAAGAAGTTTCTTCTTACCATTTTCGATGTCTTTTCTTTCTCTAGTTTTTTAGAATGGCCTCTAAGCTGGTTATTTTGACTTGGATGAAAAAGGTTTTTAATATTGCACTGATAGTGGCCGTTAGTTATTTTAAACGTCTCTATTAGATCTCCCCTGTGTCTCCTCTCTCTAAGGGTTGTAAGATTGAGCCTTTCTAACCTTTCTGTATATGGTAAGGACCTAAGTTCTAGAGGAATTTTTGTAACTCTTCTCTGAACCCTTTCTAGGAGTTCAATGTCCTTTATATAATAGGGATTCCACACAGTAAATGCATATTCAACTTTTGGCCTTATGTAACTTTTGTACAGCTTCGTTATCATTTCCACTGAATGGTCCCTAAAAGCTTGCTTTATGAGATATACAAAAGAGTTTGCTTTTTTCGTTATTTTCTTTATATGTGTCTCCCATTTCAGATCAGATGTTATAATGACTCCTAGATCATTCTGTTCTTTCACTGATGTGAGGGTCGTGTTATTAAGAGTATACTGTGTGTTTGGATTGTTTGGCCCAATTCGAAGCACTGTACATTTTGATGCGTTTAGCTTCATCCCCCATGTTCTGGACCAGCTTTCAATATTTTCTAGGTCTGTTTTAAGTAAATGGGCACCAATAAGTGGATTAATGTACAGTTTTCCATCGTCTGCAAAGTTTTTCATTGGACACTGTATGATGTCAACCAAATCGAAGAGGTAAACAGTAAAGAGTAAAGGTCCCAGGACCGAGCCCTGGACAACTCCGCTGCTCACTGGATGCCGGTTGGACAATACTCCATTAGCTCTGACTTTGTAGTGTCTTTCATTAAGTGAATCTGCTATTAACGTTAGCAGCTGTCCTCGTACTCCAAAG